CCGGTTGAACACTTACAGCAATTTATGGTCTTCTTACACAGAAAGGGGTTAGCCCCGGGTACTATTCAGGGAAAACTGTCAGCACTGGCCTTTTATGCTAGGATTAATGGCCATAGGGATTTTTCGGCGGACTATAGGATAAAGAAAATGCTGGAAGGATGGTCTAAAGAAAGGGGTAAGGTGTATGATTCAAGGACACCGATCTCCCCTATCCTTCTAGAGCAAATTTGCGATCAATGGAGACTGTTGTGCACTGACCATTACGAGGTGGCCTTATTTAAAACAGCTGCTTTGATAGCATTTTTTGGGGCCCTTCGGGTCAGTGAATTAGTAGCTAAAGGAAAGGCAGACACCTCTAGATATGCATTGCAGATGAGTGATGTCTTCATTCAGGATAACAGCCTAAAAATTACAGTTCGAAGATCAAAAGCTGATCAGAAAGGCAAAGGCAAGTTACTGGTTTTAGGTCAATGCAGTATTAAGTCTATATGTCCAGTTGAGGCCACACGATCTTACCTGGTAGTAGAGGCCAGGAACCAGGTTATTTTTTACAGCATGCTGATGGCTTGCCATTGACTAAGTTTCAATTTTGGAAACTTACTGACATAGCATTGAACAGGGTAGGCATCACAGGCCTTAGATTTGGCACTCATTCTTTTAGAATAGGAGCAGCATCCACAGCAGCTGCCATGGGGTACACAACTGACCAAATCAAACAATTGGGTCGCTGGTCTTCTTCTAGTTACAAAAGATATATCAGAACCTTACCTAATGTGTAGGCAGTGGTTATTTGTCGTTTCAGGAGCTGCGGGGATTGTCGGTCGAAGGCACGTGATGATCATCGGCCATAGCTTTGTGTATTGGGCAGAGCGCTATGCTGCCAAATCCCACTTGGGGACTGACTTGGGGCTTAGTGCCCATGCTCTTGTTTCTTGGCGCGGTGTGCGCGGCTTGCTTTGGTTCCAGCTTGGACGGCTGACAACGTTTCTGCAGTCCCCGCCAGATATCTTGCTTGTTCATTTGGGTGGCAATGATTTGCCTCGTGTTCCGGGCAAAGCTTTGATCCTGGATATTTTACGTGACCTAAGAAGGTTACATGCCAGGTATCCGGCTATGCGGATTGTGTGGTCCACGATCATCCCACGACTTGTGTGGCGTGATGCACGAAACATGCTTGATGTTAATACGGCTCAGCGCCGTGTTAATCCTGAAGTGTGTAAAGCTGTCTGCCAGGGTGGCTTTGGCTCTGTGGTTAGTCACCACAGAATTCAAGTAAGCAATCCTGATCTTTTTCATATTGATGGCATCCACTTGTCGGATGCAGGTTTGAGCATCTTTTTGGACGATATTAGAAGGGGCCTGCTTGCCGAGCTTCAGAGGCTCTGTGGCGGGCATGGGACTTAACTACTCTAGTCCCTATGCTGTGGCGGGTAGTGCGGAAAAACAGGTGTTTTGGTGTGTCCCATTGGTAATTCAGGTAAGCCAACAGTGCATCCGACCTCCCGGTTTTGCGGATCGTGCGATTACAGGGCCGGTTTGGGAAGGATGCGCTGGGCCACCTCCGGACCAACAGTCATCAAATAAAGATGGCTTGAGGTCTGGGGGTGTTTATTAGTGGCATGCCGGGTTCCTGCTATCTGTGTGACAGCGGGAATGCGGGGCCAGGGACTCGCCCAATGGATAAGCAAGGGGTATTGGTTATCCCTACCTGTTACCATTTCCGCACTACTGCAGGCCCCTTTTTGTTGATCCAATTGATGATTAAATTGAAATCCTGAAAATAAAGTGTGGCCCATATTTTAACTCCAATATTGTTGTCTGGCGTCTTTATTCCGGGCTTGGGCGGGCAATGGACCTCGGATATGTGCACAGCAGTAGTGGTGGTCACACACCCCTGGTGACATTAGCATACCAGTGTTTCAATGTATTTTCCCACGAGGGAAAAATTATTATTTGCCAGTAATGTAATGGTGGTGGCCCTCCAGTGACATACTTTTACCAACGTATCGCTGTATCAGGCACAAAAAATAAAAATAAAAAATTTGTGTGCTGCATTAATAGAGGCCAGCTTCCTGGCTTCAATTCTGAAAAGCATTGGGGCAGGTCATGCACAAAGGCAATCCCAATAAGGAATGTACCAGTACAACACAGATACAAATAACACAACCCTCCTGTCTCGATCTTGACTGTGTGTTGTGTGACCAGGGGAAAAAAAGTAACAAACTAACTGGGGGATAACTAGAGAACATTTCCCTCGTGTGACCAGGGCCTAAGTGTGGTTAACTGAAGTACATCACCGGACCTTTGCATTATCGCAACTTTTGGAGAGTGGTGTGATGCACCACAAAGTGCCAGCATTTTGAGTGGGGTAACCAAAGAGACAGAAGATGGGATCTAATATACTCTATCTGCATATCCTCAAAGCTCTGTTGCATTCACATATGCACCACGATTTTCAGTTCTTCTTCTTTGGCCCCCTCAATATCATTCACACTCTTCATCAGTTTAGGTCTCTTCCATGCCTCCAACAAAATAAAAGATTCAAAGTAATCAAGGACCCCCCTTTTAAAAGTGAAAAGAAGGGGCAGAAACAAACTTTACTAACACATAGCTTAACTACATGTGTATGTGGGTAATCTTCCTGCTGCCATCCTGTGTTGACCTGGGATGATCTCTAGCAGTATCACAAAACAGTGATCTTCCAGGTTCAGAACAACGGCAATAGGACCACCGCTAAATCCTGAGCAAGGATTTGAGCATTGACAATACTTGGGTATGCTTTTGCTAGTTTCACTATATGTCAGCCCACAAATGATTGTGTCCACACTGTCCTCCGGCTTGTAGATCCTTGCCTGAAAACAGTTCAATGGAAACAGCAACAGAACTGACTAAAATCCCTTCACCGCCATGAGACAGCGCCCCCGAATACATTTCAGTAATGGCACCTTTTGTCTGGGTGTAAATTGAAGATTGTACCATAAAGCAATGTTAAGATGTTTTCTTTCTTACTTTCTTATTTTTCACCTCTAAACAGAGATGGAGACATTATCTCAACACTGAAAATGGTTGTTCTGCATACTGACAGAAAACATTAAAGATTTCCAGATAACACCTTCACTGTAACTGAGCAGATGCTATTTAATGCCTCGGATCTGTGAAAGGAACACATTTACCCTGCCAGAACCACTTATTATTAATCATCTTCAAATGACATGACCATTAGAGGTGTTTCTCGCAGCTAACAAGCTTGTGCATGCAGTCTTGTTCAATTGCGACCAAGTGAGACTTTGTAAGCAACCAGCTGGTAACCCAAAACACAGGGTCTTATTTTTTAAAAAAATATTTTTCTCCCTCACTGAAGGTGTTGAAATGTTCTCTTTCACTGGTTGCGCAGCCCACATTTTTTTTTCTTTATCAAAACACTACATCCACCACACGTGAATACTTATTTCATTCCCTCCTCCTAACTCCCCCATCTCTGCCAGCAGGCCAGTTCTTTAGTCACCTGAAGGTGAAAGGGGGGGGGCAGATGGCTGTGCTGGCTCCTGTACCCCCACACAAAATAACATTTCTTAGACATGAGAAAGTAGGAGAGGGGAAGAAAAAGCTGTGACCACAGAACTGTGACTAATATTGGAATTTAGCAAGAAATCAGATCCAGTTTCAGGAGGCTGCTCAGCAAGTTTGGGAACCTTTTGCTACTAAAGCTCTTGATGAATGACTTCAGGAAGTATAAATGAGTATTTTTCTTCCCCCTCATTTCATCTTTTCTTTCAGAGCTTGTTCTGTACAGATGATAACGACCTGCATCAGGCAAGCATGTAGCAAACTGTCCTCCCTTTCACTCGGCAGAGTTCAGCCATCATTCTGTCATTCCTCGTCATCCAGAGAAGCAATTGCACTTCTGTTTTAATGTAAGCCAGAGGAGAACTCGTGACAGTCAAGATGAGGGTTAATCATGCTGTGATGGTTTAAGGAGAACATCAGTTAGTTAGGGTAGAAATTTAGAACAGGTAACTGTGTTTGTTCATAGAAGGAAAATCATTGAAACATCTTGTGAACCTGTTACACTTTAGTGGGCACAAACGTTTGAAGATTATAGTCCTTTTTTTCAGAAGCATGTAGATAGACAAGCATAGAAGGAAGGAGAATTGCAATGTAATGTAAAGGAAATTGTTGTTGTTGTTGTTACATGCTGTCAAGTCACCTCCAACTCAAGGCAACTCTATAAATGAGAGATCTCCAAAATGCCATGTCCTCAATAGCCCTGCTCTGTTTTAATCTAGTTATGTCATTAGCTACAGAGCTATTCATACTTGCCCTTTGCTCTTCCCCAGTAGTTGACTGAGTGCTTTCTGACAGGGAGTCTCATCTTCCAGCACTAACTCTTGTTCCATTTTGTACTGTCTCATTTCATGGTTTCCATGGTACTCACTAAACCTGGAAGTTTGATTTACATGGTACAGAACAATTATTCCCAACTTTGGTTCCCCAGATGCTCTTAGACTACAACTGAGAGAAATCCTGTCCAGTGCAGCTAGTGGGAAGTCTTCTGGGAGTTGTTGTCCACATCAGGGGTTGGAAAGTTCGGAATCATTGCTATAGAACTTTCCTAGCTCTGAATAATTTTCAAGCAGTAAGTTGCCTTAAATGTAAACAACAAAAGCAACAAACAAACAAAAAGGAAGAAAATCAGCGATTCAGTCCCTATTTGGGCGTGAAATAACATACAGGCTGAAATCCAGTAGTAAGTCATAAGCGGAGTAGGCTTGTTGAATCAATGTAATTCTATAGATCTTGACTCACCAAATCCCTACGGATTCAGTTGCCTAATCCAGTAGCAATTTACTACTGGATTTCAGCCAGAGAATGCTAATCTGTGCAATGAAATCATTACACACCTGTTTAAGATCCCTATCTGACCCCTTGTGGAACTAGATTGCTCACACTACAATTAAAGCTCTGTATAAATCCTGAAGATAAGGAACAAATTAGACACATCAGTTCAAGGAAAATGAGATTTCATGCCTCATCATAAGTAAAGACAACAATGTGATGGTTATGTGAATGATTTCTGTTTCTCAAATTATTACCTAGACTGAACATCCTGTCATTATCAAAGATAACCATGTCCACTGGGGAAGGTGTAAACCTCCTTAAATCAAGTGCATGAGGATTTATCTGGAAAGAACAATAAGCAAAAGAACTTCTCCGTGTACAGAATGGCTGATTAACTTTCAGGTAATCCTTTTTAATATTTGCATGCAATGCAGTATGGCTCAGAGTTTGGGATCTGGGCAAAGTAATGCATTGTTGTAATTCCTTTCTGGGACACACAGCTAACTTGGTGAAGGGGTCTGAGCTTGTCAGTGAAGCTAGGAGCAATATCATCAGGAGGAGAGATTCCATTAAAAGTTTGCTGCTTATATACCACCCCTGGTGCTTAAAGCAACAACAACGTTATATGCGGTATAAGGAAAAATTTCTACAATTTAAAAACAAATGATTATAATAACTCATTGAGATGCTTATCACTAGTCCAATCACTGAATGTTAAATGCACTTTCTGGACAGTTTACAATCTAATTATGCAAGCTACACATTGCTCCCCCTTCCAGCGAGCTGGGTACGCAATTTACCAACCTCAGAAGGATGAAAAGTTGAGTCAACCTTGAGCTAGCTACCTGAGCCCAGGATCAAATCCAGGTCATGAACAGAGGCTTCACTGCAGAACTGCAGTTCAACCACGATGTCACAAGGCTCCTTGAGCCTGAACCCCTAGCAGGGTAACCCAAAGTGGAATTGTCACAATGGAACTCCAGACTAAGATGCATCCACCTTCTTCAAGGCAGGTACTGGGCAGCAGTGGTAGCTAAAGGTGACACTGGCAAAAGAGGCAACAGCAGTGACACTCAAGCTAACTTTTGTTAGTGCTGGGCAGAAGGTAGCTGAAATTTCGTTATCATGAAAACCCCGCGATTAGACAATCTAAAATGAAACAAGAGATTGCTTTTCCAGATTGGAAAGCACTCAATCACCTACTGGGGAAAAGCAAAGGACAAGTACAAATAGCTCTGTTCTGTCACTAATGATGCAATTAGATTAAAGCCAAAAGGATGTCTAGTGGCTGACATGCACAGAAGTGAAAGGAAAGACTGAGGCTGCACAACATAAATGACTGGAACATGGAACATGAAAAGTATGAATCAAGGTAACCTGGAAACCATAAAGCAAGAAATGGAACGTACCAACATTGCAGTGCTTGGGATCAATTAACTAAAATGGACTGAAACAGGGTATTTTCAGTCAGACGACTGCAAAATGTTCTGTTCTGGAAATGACAAACACAGATTAATGGAGTGGCTCTAACACCGAGGCAAGATGTAACACAGATAGTTAGGGACGATAATGTAAGGTCTTACCTAAAAATATCAATCAGACTCTGTGGAAACCTATAAATATAACCATCACTCAAGTTTATGCTCCAACTACTGATGCTGAAAAAGATGAAATTTCCAAGAGGAAACTGATCACACCTGAATATGCTTATAATCATAGGTGGAACACAAAAGCAGAGAACGAAGCAGAACGAAATGTTGTTGGAAAAGGAAGCAGGAGAACAACTCATAGAGTTCTGCAAAGCCAGCAATATGTTTATTGCAAATGCATGCTTCAGGCAAATGAACAGCCAGCTGTATATGTGGATGTCATCAAATGGTCAATATAGAAATGAAATAGACTACAAAATTCTACACAGGAGATGGAGAAGCTGTTTCCTCTCTGCCAAAACAAGAACGGGTTGTAGTATTGATCATAAACTGTTAATATCCAACATTAGACTAAGTTGAAAAAGAACAGTGAAAGAATTGTACTCCCAAAATATCATTTAAACAACATTACTAATGAATGTAAAGTCCACATAAGAAACAGATTTGTATTACTAAACTTGACTGATTATGAACCAGAAGCACTGTGGATTGCAACCAGAGATATTAGAATGTAAAATACAATTCTTGTAGTAAAAAGAAAAGAAAAATTTAGATGGATGGTAGAAGAAATATTTAAAATTGGGAAGGTGGGAAGCAAACATAAAAGGTGACAGAAATAGGGCTAGAAACTTGAATGTATTTTTTCAGCAACTGTCACATAGAAACAAGGATAACTATTACAATAATCAGTGCAAAAAATTAGAGGAGAACAACAAAAGGGAATAACAGGAAATCTCTTCCAGAAGACCCAAGGAATCAAAGGGAAATTTAAACTTAGATTAGAAATGCTGGAAGACCAACAGAGAAGCACATGACCTGACAAGGAGAAAATAAAGAGAAGATGGAAATAGTATACTGAAGACTTGTACAGAAGACATAAATGGATGAAAGTCTCCTTTGAAGGAGAATCTTATGATGAGGAACCTGTAATTCTAGAAGGTGAAGTGAAATCTGCTTTGAAAACACTATGAAGAAATAAATCACTGGAGTAGATGGAATACCAATATTGTAGAACTATTTCAAGCCACAAACACCAAATCTATCAAAATCCTAACAAGAACATGCCAAAGACCATCAGGTTTAAGGATGTATCAGTGGGGACCAAGACCAAGATAATCCATACTCTTGTATTCTGATAACCATATATGGGTGTCAAGCTGGACAGTAAAGAAAGTTGACAGGAAAAAAATGATTTGTTTGAAATATGGTGCTGGATGCTTCAGAATGCCAGGAAGAAAAACAAATGAGTCCTAGATCAAATTAAGTCTGAACTATATCTAGAAGCAAAATGATGAAACTGAGGCTGTCCTACTTTGGGCACATCAGGAGAACACAAGATTCTCTAGAAAAGAGAATGATGCTGGGAAAAGTTGACGGCAGCAGGAAAAGAAGACCAAATATCAGATGGATTGGCTCTTTGAGTGAAGCCACAGGCTTGAGGTTACAAGAGTTAAGAGGCTGTTGAGGTCAGGACATTTTGGAGAGTTCTCATTTATAAGGCTGCCATAAAACAGAAACAATTCCATTTTAAAATAAGGCACTTAGGCAGCATGCACCTTATATTTAAACTGTGTTTCACACTGGCTTAAGAACAAGGTGCTCACACTTTGTGAGCCATAGGGCTTAATATGACCAGGATTTGTCCTATTGTTTGGTCTGCTGTGGATTGGTTTGTTCTTTTTTATGATGATCACATAGTGTAATCACTGCAGCAAACTAAACTGCCCCAGAGCAGCACTACCCACAACTTTCTGAGCCCCTCTCAGAGCCTTCTGTTTTTTTGTTTGTTTTTTTGTTTTTTTGATGTGGGTAGGATCACTCTGATTTGGTCTATTTCTAGCAAGTGTGATCACTGGGAAGAGACCAAAAGAGATAACTGGGAAGAGACAGCCTTTCTGGCTGTGAAGGCTCCTTCCAATTGGAATCTTAAATACGTATTGTGAAGTGGCATATTGAGCGAACCACTTCAGGATATCAGCAAATTGAACACTTCCCCTGCTTCTTGCCAGAGGAGCAGGGGAAGTGACATTTCTTTTAAAGGCTCTGGTAGATTATCACTGAGGCTCTACATCAAAATTTTAAAAAGAGAGAAAATGCAATTTCCTTTGGTTTCTCTTAAAGGACCAGTCAAGTTTGGCTGCAGTTAGTTTCTCGACCAGTCCTTCAAAAAATATTATTTCTTTCTTTCTTTCTTTCTTTCTTTCTTTCTTTCTTTCTTTCTTTCTTTCTTTCTTTCTTTCTTTCTTTCTTTCTTTCTTTCTTTCTTTCTTTCTTTCTTTCTTAGTGATGGATGCAACACTTCAGTGATACCGTATTTTTCTGTGTATAAGCTGCCCCCTTGTATAAGATGCCCACCCACTTTTCTAACCCAAAATTAAGAAATCTAAGTGCGGCTTAGCAAGGGTAGGGTGAAGGGGGGGGATTAGCAAAAGGAGGAGCAAAGGGATCAAAGCAATCCCGCAACTGCACAATCATTCTGATCCCTTTCCTCCTTATACAGCCATGGGATTGCTTTGATCGTTTCCCCCCTCCTTTTGCTAAGCCCCATGGGCCTTACTAAGCAGAGGGGAAAGCAGGGATCAAAGCCATCCTGCAGCACTTTGATCCCTGCTTTCCTTTTGCTAAGGCTTAGCAAGTGGAGGGGAAAGCAGGGATCAAAGCCGTGCAGGATTACTTTGATCCCCACTTTCCCCTCCACTTGTTTTTGTTCTCTCCTCAGCTTACTTCCCTGTATAAGATGACCCTCAATTTTTAGTCTAAATATTTTAGACAAAAGTATAGTCTTATACATGGAAAAATATGGTACTCTACTAGCAGTAATTTACCACAGTCATGAAAGAATATTTTAAAAAATATGCCATATCACAGCTCCACCCACCCCAAGCAACTCTATTTAGCCCACACCAGTCTGCTGCAAAAGAGCCAGCATAGAGGAGCCCTAAATTAAAGGAAAATTATGGCTATTTTGCGGCCTTGATGCTGCTGAATGTGGGTGGTAGACAGTTTAGTGGTGTAGCAGCAGGATCATGCAGCTACCAGTGGCTTCAAGGAAACCAGTGGTATCCTTAGACTACACATATCTTAAGCAGTTATGCAAACACATAACATAACCTTTAGTTTAAAAATTAATAAGTAACATAAATGTTTATACTAGAGACTTAAATAGGTTTAATAGATATTCCTTTCAGCCATGTAGCCCTGGGAGCTGTAGTCTCTATGAGCAAAGGAAGCTGTAGATTTGTCTTGGAGACTCTTGGATGAAGAGTTAAAGTAATGAAAAACTGTCATAATTTTGTAGATGGAACCTGTGAGGCAGAGCAACTTTAGGGTTTACTTTGCAGGAGATTTCTGCCATAGGGAAAATAACCCCCTTTTATGTATGAAGCTGCCAGTGGAAGAAAATTTGGAGATGTGGCCACACCCATACAGCTGTAGATTCCTTTCCCATCTATCAAACATCCTTGTTGTTTTTTAATTTCTTAGAGCAACTCTCTGAGGGCATGGTTCTGGATTTGATAATCCCTTTATTTGATCACTGAAAAATAAGGTGATTCTCAAACACTCCCGTTATTTGTAGCTTTTTAGTGATGCAACAAAGATATTGTCTAATCCAGAACTCTGCTTCTATGAATGGATCTCACAGGCATCTGCGAGAACAATTCTGCCAAAAATTAATCACAGCCTGCAAAACCTGGGCCATCTTGATCTGATGCAAGCTACAGAATCTTTTCCAAAAAAGTAACTTCATCCATTTGGCTCCAGAAAACACTTCGGAAAAGGCACATTTTGCCATTAATCAGCACTGCCAGACATCTGAACTCACTTTTCAAATGCTGATGCTAATTGCTGCCTACAGATGGCAGTGAACCTTCAGGATTAAGAAGAATGAACTGCCAGGAATGGAAGAGCTGAAACACCACTTCTATTCCTATTTTTATTTTACTCTGTCTTTTTTCAAAGTGCTGTGATTCAGCTTTTTTTCTTCTTCACATTAGCCGCTGATGGATTCTGAAAGCTTGGTACTTTTGCACAAAAAGGGGAACAGTACAATGTGCAGTACCAGAACAAAAGTATAAACAATTCAGCAATATGGCTTTCTCTTGAATAACGTCAGAGAATAATAATGTCTTATACCATTAAAGGGATATTATTCTTTTTTAAAAGCCTGAAAATGAAATCATGATTTTAATTTCCCTACTAGCTTGGGCATCACAATCATGTTGTTTATATATCTACACTCTTAATCAGATTCCAGCTGTCACCTACTATGATTGATGCACTCCATTTTCTTCCATATAAATAAATTGTTCATTCATAATCAGGATGGTATATTTTGGAACACTGTTAAAGTGAGACAAAAACTGGCCTTCTTTCCAGGTTGTTACTGTTATGTACCATCAATTCACTTCCAATGGTGATCCTATGACTTAACAACTCTAAAGGTTTCTGTCATTAACATCCTTGCTCAACTCTTGCAAACTAAAAATTGTTGCTTCTTTCATTACATTAAGTTGTCTTGTGTTCACCAGAATCTTATTGGTCATTTATGCTGGTGTAAATGCAATGGCTTCAATCACAGTAAGAAACTGCTGTTATTTAACAAGTCACCACTTGCATTCTTGTTGCCCACCTAGTGATTGGCATGTAACAAGGAATACAAACCGGCTTCCTGACTAACAGCAATTCACCATAGCAATTTATGCCATTACAGTAGGACCCCCGTATCCATGGGATCAGTACCCACTGATTCACTTATCTACAGTCTGAAAATATTAAAAATATTAAAAGAAAAATCCAGAAAAAAAATCTATTTTCACATGTATTACCAGAATGGGTCACTAGAGGGAGACAGAGATCGTGATATGAATATTTCTTAGTGAAGAATACTTAGCATGGCCTCTTGCACCCTCTAGTGACCAGTTTTAGTAATGCATGTGAAAATAATTATCCATGGTTTTCAGTATTCACAAGGGGACTTCGACCCAATCCCCAGTGGATATGGGGGTCCTACTGTAATTTCGGACTACATAATAACCAATAAGATTCTGGCCATTAGATCTTCCTTTCTTCCTATTGCCTTCCACTTTTTATAGCATTATTGTCTTTTCCAGTGAGTCTTGTAATTTCATAATATGACCAAAGAATGATAGTTTCAGTTTAGTCCTGTTTGAATGCACACTTTAACATTGTTTGGGTATGTCAGGGAAAGCATCAAAAAGCTAGGCTCCATTTCAAGCCTAGATCCCTCGCAGAATCACCAAAGGGACAATAGTCAATGCTAAGGTTCAGTCATCTTCAGGAAGAATGGTTGCATCCGTAGAACAGAACTACTGTATTAGTTTCAATGTTGAAAGAGCAGAGAAATTCTTGGACAGCAGCAGTAGTGGAAGGTGACACTGGTAGATGAAGTTTTCATAAACAATGGTAGTGACAATCAAGTTAACTCTTGTTAGTACTGCACAGAAGAAGGAAGTGATAAACTACTTCTCAACTGTTTATACCTTGAGAACCCTAAGATGAGATAATCATTCACAGCAGTGTTGCAGTTTTTGAACTGTTTTAACCAGTGAACCTTGATATACATTTTTTTAAAAATCTAATGCTTTCTTCAAACCCAACTCCTGAATAATTTTATTTGAAATTTGAAATTCTGTAACATGTCAAAGTATTTATAAATTGAGGAAGAATATTTATTTTTACCTTCAAATTTTCTTTACTTAGTTTATAGTATAATTCAGTGACACAGAAAATAAAGGAAAGATCACAGATATAGCATGGCAAAACAAAGGATGATGCAACAAGTGTGGACTTAAAAAGGAATAGCTCAAATTTATGACCCCTTGTTTTCCAAATATAAAATTAGCATATTGAATATTTGCCCGTGGCATCCATTTGGGGCACTTCCCCAGAATCCTATCCTTACTTATACTTTTAATATTCACAGACAAATGCTATACATTATGCTAATATACCAGAATGCAGCTTTGTTCACCCAGCCCCTAGAATTGCTGTAGATGCCCTTGGCCACCCCTGAAATCCTGATAGACTTGTGGGGGGGGGCAGTTCCAGGTCAAGAATCAACACAGTAGTGGCTGGCTGGCCTCCCACTGGCACCACAGAAAAATATGTCCTCAAACCACACATATCATAGTAATCAAGAAAAAAAAATCTAGTGTGTCAAATCACCCTGAACTTATGTCAAACCTACATTCTAGATTTGTACTGTTTTGTTCCTACTGGTTGCCCTCAACCCCCACCAAAGTATGAAACTGATATACCCTCTGTGGGAGTGTAGAGCATGCAAGAAAACCTCAAATATGGACATCTCTTCCGCAAATCCTATGTGAAATATCTGTGCTAGTTAACATCAATGCTAGTTAACCTGCTGATTCAGGGCACATTGCCTCCCATTTGGCATTCACACATTCAAGTGTGATGGGGGCATCCCCATAGTAGAATGAATGTCACAAAATGCCGAAAATCAAGCATCACAGTCTCCCCTCTAATCCTACATCAAACTCTTTCTGTGCATTTTGTTATTCGTTCAGAGACAAAGTTTTATGGAGTAGCACAAGCCATTACTGAACAGACGCCCAGCAACAGCAACAATGAAAATAATTTGGGGGGAATATGAGATGCGGCATTTGTAATTAGCTCTGTCGCTGTAGAGCCAGAAATTAGGAGATTGATTCCCCATTCTGCCTCATGGGAGAATAGCCAGCCTGGATATTTGGGGGCAAACTGCACAGTCCTAAGGTTCCCTCATTAAAGAGGATTGTAAACCACTTCTGAGTGTACTGTACCTAGAAATCCTTGACATAATTCAGAATTGACCTGATGGCACATCATCATCATCATTATTTGCAGTTACCCTGTTTCCCCGAAAATAAGACAGGGTCTTATATTAATTTTTGCTCCAAAAAACGCATTAGGGCTTATTTTCAGGGGATGTCTTATTTTTTTTCATGTACAGCAATCTACAGTTATTCAATTACAGTTAATGTCATCTTCTGCTGGTTGCTGCACCATGGTGGAGGGTGGGGTTTCACTTAACTGGGGCTTATTTTTGGGGTAGGGCTTATATTACAAGCATCCTGAAAAATCATACTAGGACTTATTTTCAGGTTAAGTCTTATTTTCGGGGAAACAGGGTAATAGTACAGCTATGTTATATTTTATATGCACTTCTTGCCATTTTAATATGCTGAACTCTGAAAATGCGGCATCCAAAAATTATTTTACAATAATGTGGCAATAAAATTCTAACACTTAATTAGCCAGTTCGTTGAATGTGGTCAGATAATGTTTCACAGACAGAAAAAAAAGGTTTTTTTTCTAGAAGAACTTCAAATCTTGAGTGCATAGGTGAGGAAAGAAAATCCTTTTTTCCAGGCAGGGTTCTCCCCATAACTGTATAAGTGGAAGTGCTTTTGATATTTGAGATGTAATTTCTACATAGAGATTTTTGTGTTGTAAAAAGCAGATGTCTTGGAATGGAACCTCACTGGCTGTTTCCTTTCTTTCTGACAGTGGGATGGAAGAAATTATAAGAATCATTCAGATCAACTACCATGTTGTACATGTAGAGTTTACAACTCTCTCTGTATATGTGTGTGTGTGTGTGTGTGTGTGTGTGTGTGTGTGTGTGTGTGTGTGTGTGTGAGAGAGAGAGAGAGAGAGAGAGAGTTTACTGCTGGATAACTCAGTGGTTCAGGTATCTGGCAGTGGAGCCAGAAGATGGGAGTTCACAATTTCCCACTGTGTTTCCTTGACAAGGGCTGGACTCGATGATCCAAAGGTCCCTCCTAGCTCTGCAGTTCTAAGGTGGTTGTGGTTGTTATTTTGTGTGCACACATGTATAAACACAGAGAGAGAGAGATACCTCCCCCCGACAATTAACTGGCTCCAAACAAGTCCCAAAAACCTTAGCACTTTTTCATAAAGTTTACTTGTTCATATAAAGATGAGTTCTTGGCTCTCTTCAGAATTATCGCTCACATATTTACATAATGTCAGAATCCATAGCCCTCTTTAAATGTATCATTCATTCACTGAACACATGATTGGGGAGTGAGATCATGCCAACTTGTCTTTCCTCTCAACATGTTAATGTCTGGCTTGCCCTGCTGCAGCATTCATATCTACAACATAGACATCTGCAACAGCTTACAGCTGTTCACGAAAAGGCGTCTTTGTTGCAGATGGCCATGCTGTTTGTGCAAATGCCAGGGGCAGGACAAGACACAGCTGGGATGAGGCTAGCCACCATATCCCCCATTTCTTCACCCATTTTAAAAAATCTGATTAGATTTAAATCCTGGTTCTTCTCTGCTAAGCTCAGGTGGTATACCTGGATCATCTTTGCTTCATGTTATGTCCCAACATCCCATTAAAGTAGGGCAGGCTGAGAAAGAGAGATTGGCCTGAGGTCACTCCATGAGGTACATATCTCAGAGGTAACCCAAATCCAGATTTTGCAGATCCTAGCCCAACATTCTAACCAATGAGCCACATTGTTGTAAGATGCCAAACCAACCCTTTTCAGATTTTAATGCTACAGGCTGACACAGTTTTTTGGAAGTTCTTGTCAATGAAACATTCAGTAATGTGTGGCTATTGATTTGTTTAATTCAATGCATGTGTGGCATTTCTGAAGAAAGATCCTTTCAACTTTAAGTTCCCAATTACATAACTTAATGTTTCTACTGAAAGATTGCTTGCTTTTTTCTCCCTCTTTTTGCCACATCTCTTTTTTTCTACACACCTCTTGTCTTCTCAGATTATAAACCTGCAGACAGGAACTGTATTCTGTTGATTATATATAATTGGGGAACCTTTCTGGCTGAACAGAAAATAAAAATGCTTGAGATTGAAATAGGAAGATAGACAGATACACATAAGAACACATACAATATAACCCTCATGCTGCAAGAGGCTGTACAAATGTTAATTTCTCTCATTAAA